CCCAGTCTTGGCCATATGGACCAGTTGAGGTGATTGGGGCCGGTGTCCTCGCCTCTGCCCATGGCCAGGGCGGGGCTGGCCCTGTCCGGCCTCACAGACAGCAAAGGGACCTTCCCCAGGGGCAGCTCGGCTGCTTCCTGGAGAACGTTACAAAAGCAGGATGGAGATCAGAGCCTCAGGCTGTTTTATTGCCTGTTTCTGGCGGGTCCCTCCAGTACCGGTGGCTCCACGCTGCTGGGGGCACGGGGACAGTGGGCACAAGGGAGAGGAGCGGGATGGGGAAGGGGATGCTGGCCCTGTTCTGCCTGTCATGGCTCCATCCAGGGCATCCCTGAGGCCGGCAGGCTCCAGGCGCTGAACTCCCCAGAGTCCGTGAAGTCCTTGGCGGCCACCTGGATGCGGTGGAGGGTCCCGGGTCGCACTCCCGTCAGGGTGTAAGATGTCTGTTCATATGGCCCGATCTAAGGGTAGAGCGAGGTTAGGGACACCCATGGGCCGGGGGGCCAGGACACAGCCTTGCTTGAGGATGCATCCTTCAGCTCTGCCTCAGTTTACCCCCTGTGGGAGGGTGGGGGATGCAGCGGGGGGGTGGGCAGTACCGTTTTGGTGACAGAGCTCTCCCCCCGGGCATAGCGGATGCAATACTTCAGCGGGAAGTACTCCGGGAAGGGCCAAGACCCTGGTGGGCTCCACTCCAGCAGCAGCTTCTTGGTCTCCCCAGGGATGGGTGAGACCCGCAGGTCTTCGGGGGGGTCTGGCTTTACTAACGAAGCAGAGAGACAACGAAGGTGTGAGATGCCAGCTGGGGACAGTGATGACGTGTCCCCCAGCCCCATTGACTGAGCTGCGCAATCCCGGCTGCAGAGATGGCCTGAGACCCGGCAAATCATTGCACTGACGTTTCCGCATCCCAAGTAGGGGAGGAAACCGGAGGGGAAAGGCCCAAAGGAAGCCCCAGGGCTGGATTAGACCCAGGCGCGGAACGCTGCTTGGGAGGTAGGGGGTTGAGTGCGAGGGGTCTGCGGGGACCCAGGCCCGTCCCAGCAGCACTCACTGACGTTCTCCAGGAGGAAAGGCAGGAGTCTGGAGGCAGTGCCCAGGGGGTTCACGGCCGTTACGTTCACCACATAGGGGGTGAGGGAGAACATCTGCACGTCCCCGAAGGAGCAGCTCCGTGGCCCCGTACGGACGCACTCGCCCGTCTCTGTGGCCCCCCACACGCCGTGCCTGGGGGGGGACGGAGAGGGGAGCTGGGCGAGGGGCAGGCTGCCCTGCCTGCAGCCCCACCTGCGACGCAGGCACGGGAGGGGGGGCTCAGCTGGAGCTCGGGGCCCCCCCGCTGACCTGTACGTGGCCACGAAGTCAGTGTCCAGCAGCGGCTCGGGGGTCAGGACCCAGGAGCAGTTCACTGCCTGCGGATAGCTGATGGCCCAGCACTCGACAGCAGGCAGTGCAGGGGGATCTGGGGCGGGGGACAGTCATCACCCCGCTGCCAGCCTCCCCAGGGGACCCCCAGCCAGCAGCGGGGGTCACGGGGGGGGGACGGGGACGGCCAGGGTCACTCACAGCCCAGCCGCAGGCAGATGGTGGCCCAGGTCTCGCCGGTGCCAGGGTGGTGGCAGCTGTAGCGGCCCTCGTGCACCAGGCTGGCGTTGGGGAGGGCCAGCCCCGGTGCAGGATACGTTCCCAGGACAGTCCCCCCCCGGCGCCACTCAGCCGGCCCCTCCGCTGCGGCCGGGCACCGTAGCAGCACCTCGGTGCCCAGGGTGCCGTGCTGCAGGGTGCAGTGGCCTGGGGGACATGGCAGTGGGCATGGGGTGCATCCCCTGGGGCAACCCCCCCATGTCCCCCCTCTGGTCCCTGGCAGGGGAGTCAAGGGGACACGCCGCAGCAGGGAGGGGTAGGGGGTGACGCTGGGGCAGGAAGGGTCTGTGCCTCCCTGGGCCCCCCAACTCTGTTCCAGCAGCCCAGTGCCCCTCCCTCCTCAATACTCCCAGCTCTCGTGCCTCTGTCCTTGGTCCCCTCATGTCCCCAGTGTCCCTATTCCTCCATCACCAGTCCCCCCATATTCCCAATCCCTCCAATGTCCCTATACCTCTATCCTTAGATGCCCTGTAAGTCTGTCTTCGGTCCTCTCAGTGTCCCCAGTACCCCCGATGCCCCTATACCTCCATCCCTGCTCCCTCCATCTCCATCCCCAGTGCTCCCAGTCTGCCCAGTCCTGCTGTCTCTAGTAGCCCCAGATCCCCCCATACCTCCATTCCAGACCCCTGGTCCCTCTATCGCTGGTCCTGCATGCCCCCATACCTCTGCCCCCAGCCCAACTGTCCCCAGCCCGCCACCCCACTCCTCCCAACCTCCATCCCAGCCCCCCAATCCCTCCCCAGTCCCCCATACCTCTGTCCCCAGCCTCCCTGTTCCCCAAGGTCCCCCCATACCTCCATCCCAGCTGCCCCAGTCCCTCCATCCCCAGTCCCGCATGCCCCCATACCTCTGTCCCCATTGTCCCCGTCCCCCCATACCTCCGTCCCCAGTGCTGCCCGCTGTGCCGTTGTAGGGAATGGTGCAGGTAGGTGCCACAAAAGCCACCACCCAAAGCCACTTCATGTCAGGGAGACTCAGCGGAGCTGCCCGGTTCCAGGGACCTGTGGGGACAGGCAGGATGGTCAAACCCCACGGCAGGGGACAGCAGGGACACCAAGGCCACAGGTCCCCAGGTGGTCCAGGGACATGGCCCTAAAGCCAAGGGTTCAAACCCGTCTCCGCTCCACCCCACAGTGCCGTGCCTCAGTTTCCCCTCTGGCCTTGCCGCACGCCCTGGGGACAGGGGATGGTTTCTCGCCGCAGTGGCCAGATCCTGCTGCCAGGAAGGAGGAGGGGGCGGAGGCGGGAGCGAAAGTACCCTGTGTGACCGGGGTTTCCCACGGGGACCTGCAGCCGCCCCTGCGGTCCCGTGCCCGGAATCGGGGTTTCGAGTCACTCTGGGCCTTGGCCAGGGAAGGGGCCAGCACACTTGGATGGCCCCCACCTCCCAGGGGATCTGGGGAGGGACTGTCCCTCACAGAGACACCCCCCTCCCCAAAACCCAGCCTGGGGGCTGAGCTGAGTTCCCCGCTGTGACCAAGCCCAGCACCACAGGGACTGATCCTGCCTTTGTCATCGCCCACCCTGGCTGCGGGCTGGCTCAGCTTGGCTTTCCCCATACCATGGGCAAGGTGCTGTGGGGCCAGCCCTAGCCCCCAACACCCCCCCTAAGCTCCCAGCCCCATGGGGAGCCCTGTCCCCTGTCACGTTCACCGCAGCAGAGCCAGACATCTGGGACCAGAGGTTCTGCCACCACCGGTGCGGGAAGCCGCAGCCCCGGTCGGCCTCAGCCCACTTCCTCACGCAGGAAACACCATTCCCAGTGGGGACCCGCCGCCCAGCGTGGCTCCGCAGGGATTCCCACGCACGGGGCCTCTGCCTGCCCTGGACCCGCAGGAACGCGGTTTTGGATCTGGCCAAGAGAGTTTCAACCCTTCCCATGCCACCACCCCGCTTCCTTCATGGTCACCCGCTCCCATCTGGGGACATCGGTGCTGGAGGAGACAATGGCACTGATCCCCTACCATCCCCAGCTCTGCCAACCTACCCCCCAGCACCTGTGTCCCTGTGCCCACCCTTGTCATCCCAGAAACGAACTGTCCCGTTGATGTGAGTATAAATACTTTATTGCTGCTGTGCTGGGGTGCATGGGGCAGCAGGGGGGCTGGCACAGGCCCCCCAGGGCTGGGTGGGTGTGGGGGTGTGTGTGGCAGTGACAGGGTGCTGCCTGGAGAAGCAAAGGGGCACAGAAGGTGCTATCACGGGCCTGGCCCCCCAGCCGTGTCACTGGCTGCGCCACTGAACCCTGCGGCACTGCCACGGTGGCAGGGGCTCATCTGCGCTGCTCCTGCAGCCGCTGCATCTTCAGGATCTGGCACAGGAGTCTCTGCACGTCCTCATCCATGTGGCCCTGGGGTGAAGGGGACATTGGTGGGGACGTCAGAGGCGACATCAGGGAGTCTCTGTGCGTGGCCCATGCACCCACGGGTTGGCACCCTTGCTGCCTCCCACGTGCATACGGGCACTGACGTGTGGCTGGCTAGTGCCCCGGTGTCCCCAGTTCGCCCACGGCCACATCCCCATCTCACCTGCACCGCATAGAGCAGGTGGCTCCGGTACAGCGTCACCACCTTGCTGTGCTGCATTTCTGTCTCCTGCAAGAGAGCGAGTGGGTTTGAGCACAGGGCCGGGGGCTTGTGGAAGCCCAGAACCCACCAGGTGATGGCCACAAGACCCCCCGCTACCCACCGCCAGCTTCTCCTCCAGCGCACGGATCCTGGCCTGGAGCGCAGCAGTGTTGGGGGGTGACTGTGATGGTCCCCGGGACTCGGGGAGGGCGTTCAGGGCTTCCTTCAGCCTGAAGACCTCCTTAGAGAGCTCAGTGATCTGCACAGCGCACAGAGGTTATAGAGAGGGAGGGACCCCTCAGCCCCAACTCCCCTGGGGTCCACGCATGGCTGTGCCCACTGCCACCCACCCCTGGGGTGGCCCCTGCGCCCAGGCAGGGGCAGAGCTGGGGCTTTCCCACCCCACCCCTTCTGTCCCTGGTTTCAGTCTCAGCTTGGGGAGGAAAAAAGGGGAACAGCCGGGAGAGCGGCAAGTCCGCACGTGGGGCTGCGCATGTGTCCTTGTTCGCTCTTATGTGTGTAAGGGTGCACGTATGTGCAGGCGCGTGCAAGTGTGTGCCAGCATGCGCACTCGTGCGTGCACATGCATGTCCACGTATGCACGGATATGCATGTGTGCATGTACATGTCTGCACACATCTGTGTGCACACACGTGTGCACATTTGTGAGCGCATCTCCCCTGCGAGCCGGCCAGCTCAGCTTACCCGAGCAGCACCCGGGCCACCCGTTTCCCCTCCCAGGAGCTCCTCACTAAATCCCGACACCTCTTCCCTGTCCCCTACCTTCCTGTCCCTGTCCCTGACCAGCCGTGCCGAGTCCTCAGCGTGGCCGTGGAGCTCCTGCATCCGCCGCGCTTCATCCTGCGCCTCTGCCAGCTGCTTCTGCGCGGCGGCCAGGCGCTCCTCTGCCGCCTGCCGCTCGCTCTTCATGAAGAGGGCCTGCCGCTGCACCCGAAACACCTCCTCGCACGTCTTCTCGTGCCGCCGCGAGAGCTCGTCCAGCCGCTGGGCCAGCGCCGCCGCCTCGGCCCGCAGTCCCGCCTGCGCCGCCTCGTGCTCTCCCC